CAGCCTTTATTTGTGCTGGGCATTGCCCCGACCCATGAGCAGGACAATCCCACCTGACAGGTTGTGCTGCTGCATCAGGGGACAGCACAGAAGACAGGGGCAACAGGGACGTCCCTGCTTTCAGCCATGCAGCCTTCGGTCGCCCCATGGGAAGGAGCTGATGATATTCTTGTGGCATCAGCAGCAGCCTGCGGCTCCTCCTTGACTTTCTACGGCCTCAGAAGCTGGCAGGCAGCAGAGTAGATTTACTCTGCGATAAGACTGATGACTGGAAGAGGTACATTAGTAAAGACTGCACTGCAAAAGCCTTGCGGTACCATAATCTGATGGCTCCTTACCGTTTGGAAACTGCGTGGAGGCAAATCTTGTTAACAGAATACCAGCTCCTTCAATTAAAGCTAGAAGAATTCCTCCCATCGCAGCAGATCCAACCATGGCAACAGGTCCATCTAAAAATAAAAAGCACAAAACAACACTTTTTACTTCTTTGGTGCATTACTTTGCATATTATAGCTCTCTGTTTTTAGTTACAATCTCTCCTATAAGCAGACTCAGAAGCAGGAATTTTGCATCCATTAAGCCTCATTAGCATCACCAATAAAAGGATAATTCCTGAGCAACTCCCCCCCCACTTCCTCAAGGAAACAAAGGAACACCAGTAATGTCTGAGAACATAATTATTACTTTCACAAGCACAGGACAAAAGTTTCAGCTTATTTTTCAATTTCTCTGAGAAAGAAAATTCCAATTTGGGTATCATAGACCATTGCTTCACTATAACGACAAGAACTGCACATTTGTTTTTCAGCCGATACCCTCAGTTTCTTACTTCTCGCAGCTAATATGGCTCCAGTCAGGGCTCCGCTTGTGATTGAATTCCACGGATCTTCTTTCCCTCTCATTCTGACCATGCTGCAGTCAATCATGGAGAAGAGACCTCCCCAAACAGCAAAGCTACCTGTTATAAAAAAATAAACAAAAAACAGTTTAGAGAAAGCAGAGAAGCCAGCCACGCCGCAGCCATATCATCAAGAGATGGTGTAGCGTGAGCGTGCTTGCTTTCAGACACTATTCAAACTCACAAAGAACCAAACACGGGTTAAAATCGATACTGAGAAAAATTCTCCATTCGCCGGTGACACACATAATACAGATACACACATTCTATGTATCTAAAATCTCACTAATTCATATTTAATCACAGGAAGCTTATCAAACAGTGAGTATAATGGAACTTCCATCCTAATAAAGCCAGAGTAGCTCAGGGAACTTTCAGATTTTTCACTTTTTAAACATATTTCCTCATAGAGAATGATGCAGAGTAATTTCGCACCTTATCCTAATCCTGCTCCTGGCATCTCAGAAGATCAGCCCTGGTCAGTGTTGTACGGCAGAAGGAAAGAGACTGCGACAGTCTTCAGAACGCAAATTCTGAAGCCTTTTAACAATAACATGTATTATAAATGAAAAGAAATATTGATCTCCAGATTCATTTTGGGAAAACTATTCTTTAGAGTAAGTTCAGCCCTCCTTAATTTGAGGTGTCTCAACACCTTATACCAGCTTAATACCAGCTAAAAAAACAGGAGGTGAGATCCCTCTCTCTGCGCGGTCACTGCAGGCTGCAGCCACAGAGCCTCTTCAGCCTGCGACCTCGATTTCTTTAAGTGGTTCTGCTGCAGCTGATGTTTCCGTGCTCAACACCACTCTTCCCATCTTCTCCTTCTGCGACGTATTCATTCAATTTGCCCGTCAGGATGGCGAACAGCACAGCGCAGCGCGTGACCACGGTGTGACCTTTAAGAGGTCACGACATCATTTTGACTCAAGCTGCCGTTTTGTGATTTTTAGACTTTTATGCACAAGATCCACTTCACAAAAATGACTGAAATTTACCCAGCTGACCACAGGGGAACAGTCTGAAATCCTACCCAGACCCACCCATCCACTTCATTGTTTCTCCAAGTTTGATTACTTCTTTCACTGAGTCAATTTTGTTTATTTTAAAACCCAACGCACAATGCACAAGCTCCCAGGCAGCTCTGCACAGAGCTGGTTAAAAGATGACAAAATTGTTAACCCCGGCTTATCACTCCATGAACACAAGCGTGTTTCCTCCAGGCTAACTCTGGATGCATCAGAACCATATTAACTCTTTGTTTGGACTAACGAACCCGGCCAAAACACAGCCGGCCCACAGCTCAGGTGTCACTGCACTTGGACCACGTTACATTCCCAAACTCGGTTATCTACCAACAGTCAGCTGAGTGGAACGACAATACAAAATTAATTACCTCCCAGTTGTGGAGCTCTTGTTTTAATAGCTGTCAAACTGCCCCGCAGCCGGTGGTTTACACCCTACAATAAAAGAGAAAGGACAGTTAGAATAAAAGAGTGAAGTCTTACAGCCAATCTGACTGTATAGAACAAAAACTTCCCACAGGCCCCACATATTTCTAAGCACCCTCAACGGCAGCAATCAGGAGCTGACAGAAACTGCATTTCACGCATGCTTCAGAATTTATCACTCCCTTACAATATACCTGTCAACTACAGAAATTAATTACAGCCATCAGGCATTAAACAATTTGAGTTCAAAATTCGGTTTGAGTGGCCTAGTGGGGACTGAATGAGACACTTAAAGTAACACTTTTAGCCAGACAAGCATATTTATTTTTCACGTGTATGGTTTCTTTGTTCCTATCTGATGCCCGGTCACTTAACACAGTTTGCACACAGGACACCAGCGGAGCAAACGGCAGCGTCGGGTATGGGGAACTGCAGGGACGAGACTCCGTCCATGGAGAACAGGGAAATCCACCCAGAGGAAGGATGCCACGGGGCTGTGTTAGAGGAAAATCTATCCTGTTATGTCACCTTTCCATCAGTATTTGAACTATTTTAGTCCAGATGCCCACAGACCAGGAGCAACGTGCTCGGCAGGCAGCAGCAATCTCACTAGTTGTCCCAAAC